AATCACCAATTAACCTCAACATGTTTTTGGACTGTGGAGAACATGCAAACTCCACACAGAAAGATCCCGGGTGTCCTCACCGAACCGGCGACCTTCTTGCTGTGAGGCAACAGTGCTAACCATGGAAACACCTTGCAACCCATGCAAGAATTATCTTACTACAAACTTAGACAAAGGAAGACAAGTGTGCCCCCTCACTTTTGGGAGCTTTAGGTTATGTAACCTGGTAGCACAATGTTGCTATAAGCTAAAACTTCAGACTTGTATGTATGGCAAAGTAAAGACATGAAAAATTACTATTAGCAGTTTCTGTCTGCAAAGTACCCGTTCATGTACAGACAACTGGACTTACATACATTCTGTGATTTTACCATAATTACGGATGTAATTCCTGCGACCCCAGTGAGGATTAAGCGGTGTATAGATAATGGATGGATGGATGGATGTTATTCCCATCTGCTCATGCAACGTGTTTGCCTCATTCTCACTGCAAATTACATTATCTGATTAGCCAATTATACTTCATGACATTCCAGATTCAGAATACTTATACTGCAGTGTGCAGTAAATGAGCGAAAAAGATATTATACCATTTTTCTCGCAGCGGAGTTGAGGACATCAAACACAGGTGTAATTATAACTGCATTTCCTTTAGGTGCTCCAGTTTGAGGCCCCTGGTGTCGCTTTTTTTTTTTTTTATTCAAGGGGCAGACATTTTAATTTGTCGCCACTTGTTGTAACACATTATTCCTAGATGGTTAGACCCACCGCTGACCTCGTAGTCACACCATTTAAAAAGCCCAAGTGAGCTTTATTTTGCTGTGTTAATTATTAGAATCCCCTGAATCTCTGATTTGCTATTACAACTGGAAGGCATTAGTTTTCTAGTTTTTCATAGGCTCACTGTGGTCAAGCATAATTTGTAGTGTGATTTCCTCTTTTCATTTATAGGAAGCCCTCGTAGATGACCAATTGCAAAATAACTGCACATTTCCACAAGGTAGACAGCCTAGTTTTATAGCTTTTAGGATATGAAAGTGGTGACATTCCTCTTTGATTATATTTTATTTGATTTATTTCAGACAGGCTACAGTATCAGTCTTTTTTTTGGGGTATATTTTCTTAAATAGTTTTATAGTTGTAGGTTTTAAACATCTGCTCTTCATTGTGCTAAGAGCAAAGGGCTTTTTTACATTTGAATTTCCTCCTAATTTGTTATTTCCAGTATTGCTTCTGAACAGTTGTTGTATGTTATCAGGGAGTAACTTCTCGTTTGCACAGTCCTGAAATTAACTAAATCCATAAATCTGTAAGTGTTGGAGTGCTCATTATATCTTATTTTATGTACTATCCTAATAGCTTTGCTTTTGTAATGTTATATGTGTGCCCGCACACAGGAAGCAGTGAGCAGTATAATGTTTATGAGGCTTTTGAATTCAGAATGTGTTGTCCTTTGTAGTAGTGCAACAGTTCTTAACAACTTTGCGTTCATATATTTTATATCAAGTTTCCAACTGAGTTTGTTATCCAGTATTATTTTATTATTATTATTTTCATGCACTCTTACAATGTTACTCTTATCGATCTTTATCTGAACTAGAAATGAGCCCCGATGCTGGTCTGTAACCCGGCACATAAAGTGGAACGCAGCCTTAATTAAAACCCATCAATTACGTCTGCTTCGTTTCTCCTGCTACATTAAGAAGCGGCCGTACGATAAAAGTATAAAAAGTTGTGTTTGCAAAGAAAGTTTTTAGTTAATATTAATGCTTTAAAACAGTCTCTTCTTGGCTCCAACCACCGAAGCGCTGCCTTTGATAAACATTCCCCATCTGCTTACATTATGTGAACGCCGCGTTACTGCAGCGGCCTCAGATTTCTTCATCTCGGAGTTTGCAAGCTTGAGGTCGTGTGTCAGCTCTTTATTAACTGATCACGGTTTGTGTGCACAATCCTCTGGCACGCCGGGCCACATTAAACGAGGCCTTGTAAATATTGGATGAGATTCGTGTTCGCTGAGTAGCCTACATCATTGTTTATACTCGGTGCTTACTGCTTGTATGTCCCTGAGGGGAAATCAAGCCACTGACTTTTATCATCTCTGATGTAACTCGGCCCTTCCTGGCGTTAACGTATGAGCAGCTCCTCCACAAGATCGATCTGAAACCACAAAGGCTTTGTTTACACATCAAGTGGTGTAGCCTGAATAATTAATCATTAGTCTCAATTGCCATCAGGGTCTATGGAAGGAGAGGAAATATGTATTTAAAAATAGATCTAATAAAGCAGGGTGTTTCTTTTTTGTAGGAAGACATCATAACATTGTTCCTGATAAAAAATTCAAAGTGGTATTTCTGCATTATTGCAAAGGGATCTGTGGTTTTATTACTGAACAGGGAGTTTGCAGTGACCTGAGTATGAGCTCATTTCTGCTTTTATCATCTCTGAGGTTTCATGTGGTATACATTTTTTGAACTAAGCTAGCTTCCGGATGTTTTTATGTTAACTTGATGTGAGTTTTTTTTTTAGTCCCGTTAGCAGAATAGCTCCAGGGATGGAGATGTGATCTTTAGACTTTTTCTCTGGAGCCACCATGAGGTTGACTTCTTTGGACTTTTAGTGACACACAGTAACGCTCCCCTCAGAGTGATCGGCTGATTTCCTGATGTTTCATCTCACACCACCATCATTTCCATTTATTAATCTTGAAAAATGATTAGATTTATGCTGGTATAACTTCAAAACTAATCAGTTCAGCTGTACTTTCTCTATGTTACAGCTTAAAGCATCGCAGAGCCACGTGTTGACATGGAGCCGTGTCATGTGTGAATTTAAATATGATTCTGCTTGTCGAGAGGCATAAATTTACAGTTCTGGTAATTACAGCGAGACTGATACTGGATTTTAGATGAACATACAGATATCAGAGTTTGAGAGAATAATTTTTTGAAATGTATTTTTGCATAAACCTCAAACACACGTTCTTGATCAGAATACATTAAAGTCAGCTGTTAGAGAATTATTTGGGAAAACGATCGCTAAAAATATCTCTAATAATGCATCTTTATAATATTTAATTAAAACAGTGACAAATAAAAAAAGAAAAAAGTATGAGCTACACTCTGTTGCACTTACTGCCCACACAGTCTAATTCAGCAGCACTACAGTAAATTATATGTTATATTTTTAGAGTTTTCTTAAAATTGCTTTACATTATTGCTGATAACATGATCGCATTTACAGTTGTTGGCGCTGTTAAGCAAACAAACAGTCAAATCAGTTATTCAGTTTAAACTAAAATGGGAGGATTTACCTTTGTCTTAGGTAAAAATTAAACTGAATGCATTTAGGCTTTGTTGTGACTGAACATTTTATAGACTGATTCATTAATTTTGTAGCATGATTAATAAAATAATAAAGAACATAAAGGGCATATTGAAAATAATTGTTAGTTTAAACCCTAAATTGTGCTAGAGGTGTTTTTAATGTTTTTTTTCTGGCCCATTTTGCATCAGTGAGGGCAAAGTGACACAAACCACAGACCACACTGTGTCCATCCAGCGTTCAGTTTCCTTATTTAGGCCTCAGGTTCTAATTCAGTCTTGCATTGTTCAGCAGTTTGTAAACTTTCAAAGTAGGTTTCACCTCCAGGTCTGTACAAGAGCTTCAGCTAAATCCACAGCGAACACAAAGTCATACGCACGCTAACAATGAACATAAATCCAAACACGTTCCTATTCACACATAAAAAAGACACATTTTTATTCTGTCTATATGCTGAATAATACAAAATCAGTGTTACCTGATTGGTTGTGTGGGTTCAAATTGAGGCTGGTGATGCTGTGACAATGCTTCAGTATGGGAGCTACAATGTTGGAAAAATGCTTGTTCTGCCAGAAAAATCGTAGTTACTGTATGTAACTCCAATTCTAAGTGTTTAACTCTTACAGGTCAGAAAAACTAGCGCACGTACGGAGATTTCGTCAACTTCATTCAAAAGTGCAGACCTTAACCTCTGTCCCAGTTTTTGTTTCATGTTGATAGACCTCATAAAATCAGAGATATGATGTTATAGACATGCGTGGAAAACAAAAGCCATGTAAAATATAAGCATATGAAATATAGGCTGCAGATTTCACATTTCTTTCAACATCTCCGTCATTTTTTGTGACAGACAAAATGCAGTTCCTGTTATGTGGCTGTCTGCCTCATTCTGGACAGAAACTATTTTCAGGAGTGGCATGGATTAAAAAGAGAGAGATAGCCACACGTGCTTTGTATTTTATATCAAATTTACCGTTTTGAATTCATATCTGCAACCTATGGTGACATTTTCAACTTTCAAAATGCTTTGTTAAGCATGTTTGTGGTTTTTATTGTAATGAATAATACATTTTTTCAAATAGGATTTTGTACTTTTTGTGTGTTCTTGAACCCAAAATGTTAATATAGTTGGTTAAAGTGAAAAAATCAGATCATGTCAGTGATGTGCTGGAAAATAAAAAAGATACCAAACATGGGCACGCTAAACATGTTTCTATGTGGTAAACACAAAACTAAAAGTATGCAAAAACGGCCAAAACAGGCCAAAACCTCTAGGGTCAGCTCTCAAACAGGCTTCAGTATTGGTTGCCTGGGGGGCCAAACTTCAGGATGTGGTGGCCACCGCTTAGCTCCGCCCCTGTGCAGGACTTATAGTTTTATCTTGGTGGACCGAATAAAACAAACATACTTACATTGAAAATATGTTTATTTTTATGACACATTGATTCAAACATCTTCAAAAATCATAAAAGTATTACAACACTGTTCATTCTTAAACAGTCGTCTGTGCGTAAAAGCAGCCAACCAGCTGCGCGCGTTGCCACTATGTTTTGCAGTGGGAGGGTGCGCGTGTTTTATTCGCCCTCCTCCTGCCGTCCGGAGGGGCGGCGTCCAACACGACGGCACATCAACACTAGCAGCTAGCCGCAGATGTAACCTCGCGCACACTTTCTTCACTTTCCGCGCACTCCGGCCGCTCCAGTCGCCGTTCAAGACATTTTAAATCTTTTGCAAGGAGGTTATTTTTTATTTATATTTTTAAACGAAGAGCTTTCTGTTTGTGTCTTTTTTTTTTTTAAACATATAAATTAATCCAGCGCGACTGCCTCCGGTTAGTCGGTCTGTTTGGGCACAAATGATGTGAGCACCGACAGCTGGAGGAGGACTGCGGACAGCTGTGTGTCCTATGACAAGTAAGTGTTACCCAGAAACAACAGCACCGACTGAGTTAATGGAGAGAAACAACCTACTTTTGCTGTTTCGAGCCTTTTGTTTATGTCCATGTAATACTTTGCGGTGCTACTTCTGCCTGGGATTTAACGTGTGTAATATTCCCATAATGCCTTGTGCCTTTTCCAGCAACCTACACTTGATTAATGTTGCTTTTTAATTTAGTTTTTTTTTTTATCACTATGATAAATCTACAGCAGAATATTGCTTTTGGGGATTTGTTTTTATGGCGTTATATAATATGATTTAAATGATTTATTTATTTTTTTCCCTCTCCAACAAACTGATCCATAAGGCGCTCTGAGCTCATGCAGTGTGAGTGATGTTGTGACATTTCCAGGCGCTCTGCATCCTCAGCACCACTCCACTGTGTCTTGACTTTGGTAGTTCACTTTTTGCTTGAAAATCTTTGCAATGAAAGGGGGGAAATGCAAAAAAAAAAAAGGCACACCCACTTAACCACTTGAATAAATATTTCAGCACGACTTACAAATTAAAAATACAGCATCTTGCCTGACTTACATTATGCATCGTTACAAGCCGGGATGTGATTGGCTGCGGCTCTGCGTCTCTCCGTGTGGCAACAGCCTTCCCATCCACCCAGCAACTCCCTGTTCCTCATGCCGTGGTGATTCTCTGCCTCTGAGGACCTCTTTTTTTTTTCTTTTTCTGCAGCATCCAGCGTGGTAACCACGGCAACGGCGGCCTGACCCTGGGCGTGCTTGCTTACAGTTACTACAGGCTTGACCTGAATTTCTCGCCGCATCCCAGTCAGGCACGCATGACTTGGGCGACTGACCTGCTTCTCACATTGTTTGGCGATGGAGCAGCTGCAAGTGTCAGCGAAAGGCGAGGAGCAGTCGTGAAGCGAATAAGCTCACTCGTGTTCGGCCTTGTGTTGTCAGAAGACTCTGTAGTGTCTCTTTAGAGGTCTGTTCATTTGTGATGAAACAGCTGGAACAGATTCAGCCTCTAACTTGCTGGCTTTTCAAGTATGAGGATGTTTTCTGCTTTTGTTTATCTCGTGTGCTGGTAGTTTAAATATCTGTGGGTTTTGAGCTCCTTCCTGGACAAAAAAAATGACGTTTGCAGATGTTACCTTGGCTTTTAGGGAACTGTGACGGGCATATCTTCGTTGTTTTCTCACAGCATAATCTAAATGATGTTTAATATTTGATCTTGAGCTCCTGACACCCCTGGCTGCTGCCTCTATTCTTTTGTGGAGAGCAGCGTGTTTCCTTGTTTTTCTCGTCACGTTGTGAATATGTCGGATGTTTAAGCACCTTGCTTGTGCGTACAAGAAAAAAATCCTCCCATATTCACCTTAAGTTTGGCCTCATATGGTGTGACGGGGCCCAGTGATGCACTGTAAGTGTGTTTTATTCATTTCTTGAGGGATCGATGAACAGATGTTGTGGAATTAGTGGCTGCTGTCAGAAAAATAAAAGTGTTCGTGGATCCGTTGGTGAGCCCACGGCTCAGCTGTAGGCTCCCTGAGGTGTCAGCTTGTTGCAGAGCCAGACTGTGTAGGAGTGACTATTTCTGTCCTTTCTCCAAGGAAGCTCTCTCTCCCTTTCTCTTTCTCTTTCTCTGTCACTCGGTGCAGCATAACAGAAGTCAGCTCAGTCGGACCTCTGTGGCTCTCCGCCTGCCTGTCTGTCATTGTGATCCCTCCTTTACAGCTTCACCTGCAGACTTAAGAGCACTTTAAGAAGCCAGAGGAGCAGCTGAGAGGGATGGCCATTTATTGGCTTTTTTGTCTGTGGGAAGAAATCAAAGCTTCTGCACACGATTTGCTGATCAACAAAAAAGCTAATCTGTAACTGTTTTGATCGCCGAATTGAAATGAGTGACACGTTTTCATGTTCCAGCCTCTTGAATGTGAAGAGTTCTTAGTCTTGTGTTTTGCTAAACAGAATATCTTTGTGTGCAATTCTAATTGCAAACACCTACTGGGATTTATTGTTGAAGCCTCAGACTTTAGTCAGAATGTAGTCAGAGCATGAAGCATCCCAACAAAAGGCTGGATGTGGTTCTAGAAAATCCAAACATCTGAGGTCACAGATTTGTTTATTTCTGTAAATGAACTGGCTGTTAAGTAACCGATTGACTTAAGGATGAAAATACTGATTAATTCAGTCTGCTGGAAAGTTATGAATTTTTAAAATAGCTTTTTTGTTTTGGAGAAATGCGAGAAAATCTATTGTTGTTCCCATTTATTATATTTGATTTCTGTGCTGGTTTTCTTATATGGGTCTACTGATATGATGGTAAGCTGAATATCTTGGTTGGGTAAAACATGCAATGTAGCCGTGTCATGATATCATGTCCACTGTCCCCACACACACACACATATATATCTATATAAAATAATGTGTTAAAGTCCCACCCCTAATATACTTTAAAGCGTTGCTTACGATTAATTAATTACAACAAAAATAGCGCGTCAAAAAAATTAACGCATTTAATCGCAGTTTACATCCAGACAACACGGATGGTTTCTCAGTGCCTGATTTCATGGTCCACCGATCACAGTGATGCACAAAATGCGTCAGCGCTGCGCTACCAACAACAAACATGGAGGAATCCGATGAGAGTGCATCGCTTGGACTGATGGAGGGAAAGTTTCATTTTAAAAAACTGCCTGATGGAAGCCTTGACAAGAGCGTGGTGTTGTGCAACTTGTGCAAGAAAGAATTTGCATCCCACCGAAGCACATCAAGCGTACGGTACCACCTGAATGCAAAGCATGTTGCAGCGAGCACAGAAACCGCCAGAGCCGTTAGCACTAGCAGTCCCAGATAGCGCCGATTTGTTTTAATGCGCTATTTTTGTTGTAATTAATTAATTGTAATTAACGCGTTAAGGTGCTATTCACAGCCCATGATCACACATATCTGTCACCATTTCCGATGCTATGCCAGCCTAAGTAGAATATTCATTTTAGATATGAAATAAACATGACATTTAGACTAGCAGAGCTTCTTTTTTTTTTTTTAGATGTAAAATTCAATGGTGGCTGGCTATAAAAGGAATAGTAGGTATATTCTAAGCTAAGTTGTTACTCGTATGAATAGAATTTCACTGGAGACGATTGCATATTGCATTTTAGATATTTGAAATGTAGTTGTAGATACTGAAATTACATTCTTAGGGGTTAAAAAGTTTAAATTTAGCTTGTCAGAGCTGAATCTTAGATAAATAGTGTTCCTCTTATGATATCTTTATCCTCCACTGAACATTGCATTTCTAGTAAGAACTGCATTGTTCATATCAATTACTAACATTTTGACTAGTTAGGTTGCGGATATCATGACGTAGAACTGCTGCTAGTTAAAATCGCATTATGAATGTCTTGATTTGGAATTCTAACAAGTCAAATTGCTATTACTGCTACTGACTCACCATCTTCATGCACTGACACACACACACACACACACTGAATGGATAATAGACAGCTGTTATTTTTATGTGTGAGGTTTTTTAAAAACCGCAAAGTACAATCCAGTCCACTTTTTGTGAAATTCAGCAAATATCTGCTGGCAGTTCACTCACTGTTTGTCCTCACCGTGAACTCGAAGCTACCTTCCCTCCAAAAGTAGGCCTCCCAGAACACTGGAATAAATTATTGTCAGTACCCAAAAATAATAAAAAATGCAGGACAAAAAAAAAAACAAGGAAAAATATCAGGACATGGAGCAGGATGTTTCTACAGCTACAGTTTTTATGTACAGTTGTGTCACTGCGGCTGTGAATGTTCATCAGATTCCTGTCTGAGATAAGTAGGCAGCCCGAAATAGTGTAAAACCTGAAGGTAGTGCAGGATACAGATGTCCGCTCTGGCCTTAAAAGAGGCAGTTGCGCCAAAGCTGATTTTATTTATTCCCTGTGTTTCTTTCAAGATGTCTTTTTAAAAGCATTCCATTGTCTGCATGTTTCGGTCCAGGAAGGCCTGGCTGCCCCGAAACCATGTGAGTCACACGCAAACAATGCAACGCTCTGTCTTCCACGCTCCGCTCGCTTCTCCTCAGAAATTAGGCTGGAATCAATAAGGCATTTACAGTCAGTGACCCACATTTGCCACTCTCACATGATGATGGGGCATCGGTGGTATTCAGTCAATTGTGTTAGGAGAGTTTCCTTCGGTCCTCACCACGTTGGCGCACTTATTGATGTCACAAACGGCCGGATTGGGATTTGTTTGTCTGCAGCCCGTTTTAAGCTGCCCGCATCTTGTGTTGTAGATGTGATGGACCAGCAGAGGGCGCTGCATTCAGGTTGCCTGGTCTCAGGGGTCCGTACGCCTCCCATCCGCCGCAACAGCAAGCTGGCCAGCCTGGGACGCATCTTCAAGCCCTGGAAATGGAGGAAAAAGAAAAACGAGAAGCTGAAGCCCTCGACAGGTGAGTTAGACGGGGTGGGTGGATGTTAAGATGAAGGCTTGCAAATCCCTTGTGTTTTTATGGGCCCAGTTTCATGAGTGTTTGTGTTGTGTAGCGGTGGAGAAGAAGGCAGCTGTACGACAGAAGAGAGACGACCCGGCGAGGAGGAGCCCCGGGGAGACGGAGACAGGTGCAAACTCTCAACCATGCGCACATACATGACTCCAGGCTTATCACAGTCCACTTGTTCAGCCACATGACCCACTAATGCTACGCGGACTCATTCGTGTCCTCTCTGTGTGCCACATGCAGAGTTGGATCTCGCTTGTGGGGGTAACGGCGAGGATCCAGACACCCCGACTCACTCTGACGGCGAGGACAGAGACGAGGAAGCTGTGGCGCCTCTGGCCAACACCAACGAAGACCTGGGCAGCGATTTAGAGGCCTCGACAGGTAGAGTGTTGTGGTCTGAGCAAAGCATTCATGTTTTGTTAAGTTGAAGGGTTAAAGCTGCATTAGGCAGTTACACTACCAACCTGACAGTGTGACACTGAGAAGTGGAAAGAGGTGACGAGCTGCTCTAAACGATATAAACAAGGAATCAAATTACAGTATCGAATGTGGAAGGAGACTCTCATCACAACCGACCTTCAGAAAATTTGCACCCAGACTGCATCTTTCAGCTTGTTGTTTTGAATTTATGGTCTGCATTCTCTCAATGTATCATTTGCAGCTACAGTTGGAGGCTGTTTTTAGTGAGAAAAAAAAGACAACAGACAGTTAGCGACCACATAGAAAAGCATTTAACAGTCCCAGATATTTCCTACAAGAGTTGGTGGAGAACATCTCAGACCAAAAAGAGTGAGAATTACGGACTTGGATTCATGAAGGGGTGCTGTAAGGTGGCTCGGTGGTTAGCATCGTTGCCTCGCAGCTAGAAGGTCGCCGGTTAGCGTCCCGGTGAGGACACCCGGGATCTTTCTGCGTGGAGTTTGCATGTTCTCCCCACACAGCGTGGGTTCTCTCCGGGTTCGCCAGCTTCCTCCCTCAGTCCAGAAACATGTTGAGGTTAATTGGTGATTCTAAATTGTCTGTAGGTGTGAATGTTAGTGTGCTTGGTTGTCTGTCTCTAAGTGATAGACTGGTGACCTGTCCAGGGTGTCCCCTGCCTTCACCCTGAGTCAGCTGGGATAGACTCCAGCCCCCCCGTGACCCTAGTGCGGATTAAATGGTGTATAGATAATGGATGGATGGATGGATAGATGAAGTGGTCAGAAACATGACTAAATAGAAAGGTGGCTGCATGTCAGTATTCGTATTGCTACCTCCACAATGTTAGTCACTAGAGGTTTAAGGCTGTTTTGCATCCATATTTGTATGTTAATCAATGTGCAGAGTGACAAACTCACAGGGTCATGTCATATAAAATCACATCATCAGCTCATTTTTTTGTATACAATAACTTGAGTATATTCAAGGAAGCCATGTGAAATTTTACCTTCATACTGTTGATGTTTTCTGACTTTCAGGCCCTTGAAATACATGGGCTGAGCCAAAAGTTTACGCTTTTAAATTGCTTTATTTTTTCCAGCATACGTTGATAAGTACAGGAGATAGACATTTTCAGGGACTATAAAAGCACATTTGAGCTCTGTAAAAAAGCAGCAGCATTGCGTTTCCTGGTTCAGTTAATTGAGTGTCATGTCCCCGATCGTCCACTAGATGGAGACAGTGTCCTCAGAAACAAACCGAACCTCTGCCTTACCTCTGTTGATCCTTCATTTCAGTGCAAGATGTGACTGAAGATTCAAAGACAGCAGGAGATCCCAGCCAGAGTGAAGACGGAGAAGACGAGAGCATCTCAACGAGCAACCCCAGCGAGGAGCAGACGATGGGGAAAGTGGAGGCGGTGGAGGGGAACCAGGAGGTGGCGGTGGCCAAACCTCAGAGACGAGCCAGCACCCCTCCTCCACCCAACCTGCCTGTCAAACTGCTCACCAGACTGGGCAGCTTAGATGGTGAGTTCACGAACGTGAGGGCCGAACTATGAAGCGAGTTGAGTGTGTTAGCAGGTATGCTGAGCTTAAAGTCAGAGTTACAAAGGGGACTCTCTTTAAACCTGCTGCATCACCATGGTAACTGATGCTGTGCAGCTAACCTGGTTCGGTTTTGTTTTGCATTTAAATCGTCTGTAAGAAGCATCTTCCATCAACGGAATCATTTCCCTGACGATTCTTTGTGAGTGATGCAGATTCTCAGCTGAGGGAATATGTTTTATCTGCAAACCAGTTGAGCTTCACATCACTAAAACCACTAAACAATGCTGTTCAGTTACAGTATGGCGCACTGGGGTGATGCTGGTGATGCAGAAATCGCATAAATTTGTTTAAGTGTTTGGTCCTGATTTGCTGCCCAGTCTGTTTACGCTGCTGGTACGGCAGCTGATGCAACATATTAGAAAAGTGATTGGTATTTAAGACAGAAAATATTCAATCAGTAACATTTCACTTTGATTCGGCCAAAAATGAAAGTGATATCCTGCATTATGGGACAGTGTCAGACCTTAAAGCACTTAAACACTATATCATATTTACATGACTGAAGTTTGAAGCTTACCAGGTCTAATGTGCAGCTGCATTGATCGTTGAAACAATATATTACCACATGGTTAAAAGTTTTCTTCCAGCATTCCTGTCCTGTATCGTTTGCAGTAGCAGCGTTTTTTAGTCAGCTACCTGTTGACTGATGTATGCCGAATGCCATTGGTTCATTTTGTGCAGAAGAAGAGTCAAATGATGAGTTAAACACCCATCAACACTTTCAGAGTCTGGAGGTGAAAGTCTGAGTTAACAAAGAAAGTCTGAGTTAACAAAGAAAGTCTGAGTTAACAAAGAACAAAGTCTGAGTTAACAAAGGAAGTCCACCTTTGTGATACTTGTTATCTCTGACTGGAGCTTTAGTTTTTGTCAAGCCAACCTACACAAAGAAAGCCCGGATGTGTCAAACTTGCTTCGTTATGCAGCCCTGTGTTTCTCACAGTGTTGTCGTCTGTGTTTGCAGCAAAATCTCACCGATCATTTTCTTCCCCAGGTGCTCCTCCAGTACCAGTTAAGAAATCCCCAGCGACCCTACCCAGGAACTTCACGCTCCCCAAAGACCCCCATGGCTCTCTGTTGAGAGGCAGGATCTCCACACCCACTGGGTCCCCTCACCTCAGTGGGACGCTGCACCCACAGCTGCCCCCCAGCTGCATCATTGAGGAACTGCACCGTGCCCTGGCCACCAAACATAGACAGGACAGGTCAGACATGATGTGCCTTTGTTTGTATGATTTCTATTATGTAGGTGTTATCTGATTAAATATGACACTTGCAGGATTTTGTGTTTACTAAATGAAAAACTAGTAGCACTTTGATTCATAAAAAACATTGTATTATCCCCACATTTGAACATTTCATTCAGCTAAAATATGGAGAATCTTGCCCCAAAACAGCAACATCCTTTTCATTAGGCAGCCTTAAATGATTATTTTCTTTAGTGATGAATCTTTTGTCTCCTTCAGTTTATTATATTGTCTAGAAAGTCCTGTTTTTGACTCAGTGAACCCTCTGAACCCTAACCAGTTTCTGAACGTTTTTTTTGCTCCTGTCCCACTTTTTCTTCACCGAGAGCTTGTTTTTTACTCCAAGATAAGGTCTTGCACCTCTATGGAAACAGCACAACCATGGCTAGAAGTAGAGCAAACTCACAATTGTCTGATCATGTAAACACAGCTTCCAGTTTAGTTCAAACGTCCCTGAATTTCTGCAGCTGAGTCACAAGTGGTTGCATCATGGTTGCCCCGAGGAGCAGATAATTTTTAGGTCAAATAACTCTTATTGTTATTCAGTTATGGAAATTGTCAGCTACTTGAACAACAGTTGAATAACTACAGCTGACATTTTCTACCTCGTCAGTTGTTTTTAGCCTCAGAGACAGCGTGTAATGTGCTGGTTAGTACATTTTCTATATGTATTTCATGCACAGGAGCTGAAAGAGCTATTTACAGTCCTGAACATTTGAACGGGAATATCTGACATACCAATACAATTCTGTCTTTTTTGTCAACATCATAATCTTATAGACTGTATTCACCTAAACAACAAAGGTTTGTGCGGATGCTGTATTGCAGCTGAGGACAACAGAGAGACACGACCTGATCTTAGGAAATAAAACTGAGGCTTTAGTGTGTAGCAGTCGTCCTCAAATTTAATCATACCCTTCCATTAAAGAAAAGGCAAAATTCACAATAGTCACTCAAATAACTAGAAAGTGAACAAAGTAATAATAAATAAAAATTTGCTAAATTATATTTTAGTGAAATAAGACATTGATTTTGAATTGTGGTTGAAAAGAACAACAACAAAAAAAAACCGTCCTGGACAAATTAGAGCACTTTGCTGATGAGCAGTGAATCCAAATACCTGTCAACAGGTGCAGAAGTCTGACTGAGAGTTACAGAAAACACTTGATTGCAGTGATTGGCTCAAAGGGTTGTTCAACAAATGACTAGTTTACGGGTCCCATCATTCTTGCTTGATTTATTTTTTTTTTTTGTTTGATTTTTTTAATGTATTTCTGTTGAACCACAGTTCAAAAGCAATGTTGTGATTTTCATGAAATTTGTATTTATTTTTACTTTTGTGAATTTCAACTTAATTCAGTAACGGCTATTTTTTTTTCCTTCTTTAATGGGAGGGTATGAATACATTTGAGGACGACTGTATATTCAGTTTAGATCTTACAGTGAAAAGTTGCTTAACAAAGATGAATGAAAGTCAGTTTGTTTGTTAAAGAAATCTCACAAAGTTTCACTACACCTCTAAACTGTCTCTTTTAATTCCACGAGGTAAACCAGGATTCAGTATCTTGGTCACGGATACAAATCGTTGCTTACATTAACTTGTGATGTTTAAATTACAAGAAGTTCTTTGATGCAGTTGTGCTAATCTCAGGGTATATTAAAGCAAACACGAGCTAAACTGTTTGTCCCTCAACCCCTGCTGTTGTTGGAGATGACTGACTTCTGGATTCTATTTCTTCAGCTTTTCAACCTCTCGGCAAAATTTTTCAGCCTGAGAAAGTTGAGCCATGCCATGTCTCTGTCGGCACACGAAGCCTTTGCTGGAGTTGTAACTGACGGGTTTGTCTTGTGACGTGTCATCTCAGCTTCCAGGCTAAGGAGGCACGCTCATCTCCGAAACGCCGACTGGACGGCCGTCTGTCTCGCACGTCCAGCACAGAACGGGAGCCCGCCGGGGAGTCGGAGAGCAAAAAGGAGTCCGACGAGAACAAGGAGAACTGGCGTCTGGATGAATACTTGAGCGACCAGGACAGCTGGAACGAGTCTGTGATCTCTGGTAGGTCTGCCGATGGCGGGCATGTGGTGTATTTGCTTTACCGTTATCCGCCTCTTAATGCACAAAGCCAGCAAAATCTGCGCGCCCCTTCATTGGATAATGAGGCAGCATAATCTCTGCTGATGTTTGTTTACAGTCGGGGCATGACAGGGAGATTTACGGCGATGATGACTCGTAGACTTGTGGGTGTTAAGTTTCAGCGGCCCGTCAACATCTGCTCTGGTGGCCTAATTCTTAGCCATTCATGTGGGTCATTGGCGCACAGCCGCGTGCCATTAACATGTCTGTGACTTGGGGAAAAAAAAAAAAACGTTAAAAGGATGACTGTGGCATTATGACAAACGTGCACAGCATCAGCACGAGTATGATGCGATACGAATATCTGTTGGTCACAAACGTAGTGTTGCAAATGAAAGACAGAATTAAAGATATTCCCAAAATGAATGAATGTCTTTGAAATGCTGATTTATGTTGTTGTTTTTGACACTCTCTGAACTTGAGGTATTTATTAATTAAGCTAACGAGGCAAGTGTAGCTCCCACTTCGCTGTCATTACATATGAGAGTAGTGTTACACTTTACACATCCGCAAGATTAGCTTTGTGAATCTGGTTACCAGAAGGTGTATGTGAGGCTCTTTGTGATCGATTAGACACTACAAGGGCATCAACTGCACAACGATACATAAACAATACATAAATACTACTGTGCACACATGGGGCAGGTCCTCCGAGCACCTCCATGTCCGTGGTATGAGCAACTTTCTGTTTACGCATCCTCAAAGGGAGTATAATTGGTCCCTATTGCTGAAAACATCAGGAACTCGCTAATGTGCATTAAATGTAAGGACTGTGATCATTAACTGATATAACCCACGTGAGTTTGAAAACTCAGAAAACAACTCTGAAGTGTTACATGAGGTACAAATGTGTTTTTTTTTTTGGCATTTGGAATACAGTCAATGCATTTTGAGACAGGTGTTCAATAGAGACCACCATACAAGAAAAATCCATTTATGTTGCTTTTTCTTGTACTTGTATTAAAAAGTTAGACGTGTAGTTTGATATATATTTATAAATAACAGAGTGCAACATATTATTAGGTTCGAAATGGTCCTATTTAGGAGTATGATCAGGGAAATGCATGAAAAATGCAGGTTATTTTAATATATCTGCACATCTTTAATGGTTTCTGCAGCCTCTAAATCACTAAATCCCCGCTGCTCTGTGCTCTCTGAAAGTGAAACTTAAATTCTGAGCGACGTTTGAGATGATGCTCTAAATTTTAGACTGAAGTTATGAACACATTCACAGCTAAACAAACGGCTGGAGAATGCCTACTTCTAATCATGAGCCCATATTCTTCTAATTTAGTTGACTCTGTGTGTGGGCTGTTCGCATTCATAACATGCCTGGTTAGCGAGGGACGAGCCATAAGCTCAGCAGTCAAACTCTTCATCTGTATGTGATGAACTTTTTCCCAGGGCTCATTGAAAACTGGGCCTCGGTACCCATCCCTATATGTCAGTGAACTGATTTGCTGAATCTTCTCTTGGATTTGGTTGTGCTGTGAAAATGCGACTATTAGCTGCAGGGTTCCATTGCCAAAATGTGAGACACAACTGTTGCTGCATCTATTGTAGGTGGACTGCAGACACAGAAAGCCACTGACTTTAAAAACTTTCATGACTCTTTGGCTTATATTGAGCGAGTGAAAGAAGATTCTGCCGTCACCAGAGTCTAGCATTGAGCTTTTTGACCATTGAGCTCAAGTATGGTGGTGGCAGCATCATTGACTCTGTGTTGATGCTTCTCTCTTTGCAGGAGGCCCCTTGAACTCCTGTGAATATTTAGGGTAATATCAAAAGAAATCTTGGCTTTGCTGCAGGAGAGCTTGAGATTTAAAGTATTTTCCAACAAGCCAACTCCAAACTTAAAGCCAAAGCTGCACAAGAATGGCTCCCAAACAACAATGTTAATGCCCCCGAGCGGCCAAAGAGTCCGAGTCCAGAGCTCAGTCCAATCCTGAATTTGAGGCTGGATTTAAGAATTGTTGTTCCGTCATGACCTCCATGCAACTTGACAGAGTTGGCGAATGGGGGGTTGTGACTTGTGT